ATATGGTGGTGGTATCCATGGAGGATATGGTGGTGGCGGCCATGGAGGATATGGAGGTGGCGGTCAAAGAGGATATGGCGGAGGCGGCTATGGTTACGCTGGCAGCCAAAATATTTTAACCTTTTCAAAAGCTTTCGACGATTACGCCAAAGGACTTCTGAACTATGGTCCCGTTTACAGTACTATATATTAAAGATCTGTGAAAGAAAAAATATAAGAACTAAAATTCAATTTCTTCATGTGTACTTAACTCTAGTACCAAGTTTCTCTGGATTTATGAGGAAAGGGCAAGTGTTACATCGAGGGTTCTAAATAAGTATTGGTTATCTTTCTACGCAGTATAGTCACATTAGTATTACCCATAGTCAGTTTTAACTATTATTTACTTTTTGTATTTGTAACTAAAACTTACACTTCTTTATCCTTAAATCTCAATCTAATTTTTTGCAAGGGTATATCCAAATGGATCAGAGAGTCCATCTCTAGTACTGGAGAATATGGCTAGAAATAGCACATTGAACGTTCTAAAATAAATAGTTTTTACATTTTAAACTATTGGGTGTTTACGAAAATTAAATATATTTGTATTAATATTATCAGAGGTGTTGTTTCTTTTGCATTTTTACAACAGTTAGTTTGTTTCTTTAAACTTGTCTACTTAGTTTGTTGTAGTAAGCAATAATAATAATATATATCAGTAATGTTCAAACATTCAATATACTCTACTATTGAATTTAGTTAATAGTTACTGATGTTATACACTGCATCAAGTTTTGTTGCAGTAAGCACAGTTTGCAAATAATGGACATCCCGAGATCCTGACATAACTGTTATATTTCTTGTTGGTATCAAAAACATGGAATGTGTATATGATGTTCAATAGCGGTATTTAATTAAAGATATGATATTAACAGTTCTGGTGTCTATGGAACATAAAGGTAAGCAAATGAATTTGTATCATTTGGTAAAAAAAGTTATTGTTTTGTGTGTGTGTGTTGCCACTGAAAAAAGAATATGACTAATCCTCATTTGTACAAAAGCACGTGTTAAAGTGCTCGATAAACACATTATATAAAAATACTTATACTGAAATTGTTGCATTGTCTAATCACTTAAAACCAGAAACAAAATCCTATACTTGTATTCAAATAAATGAAAGAGTCACCATGGTCTATTCATTCCCTCTCTGTTACATGTCTAAATTCCTCCCAAAAAAGTTGATAATTGTTGATGTTTTTCATACGTTATAGAAATGCAATATATATATATATCTAAATAAAATGTTACTTTTTTTAAATTCCAAATAGTAGTTTATCATCTTCTGGAAGCTTTGATTGAAAATTAATAACACATGGGCCCACAGTTAAGTAACTTTATAATTATATTTGAAAACAGCTAGTAGTAGAAATTGAAATTGCACTTAATTTTATTTTCATTGATATTAATTCTTTGTTTAAATTAACTTCTGATACGTCATTTTTTTATTACGAAACATAACTTTATATATTGACTGTTTTAATAAAACATTCACATTTAATTAAATTTTAGTTTAACGACTATGAGTTTCTATGGCCCTTTCACAAGTATTTGTTTGAAAAATAGGCCTTAGAAGGTGCTTCTTATTACAAACACTAGAATATAGCCCGTCAAAAATGACGGTGCAAGTACTACCACCCCACCCTACGTATACCCTAACATTACATTTCATAGCTAACTGAAATAAATAAATTTTGCGAAATCAAGCTTGACCAACAAAGAGGTAGAAAAGTGCAGTCGAGGCAGTCATCGAATAATTATTGGTAAAAATCAGTTAGATTAACAACTTCTAATATACAGAAAAGCAACAATGATTTTTATGTCATGTCGCTTAGCAACAAAAGTAAAAACTATAACCTAATATTGTTGTTAGTCTATGAACTAAAATTATAAAATTAAATGATTAGACGACAAAACTGGAAAACTATTTGTTGATTTCTTAATTTAGAATCTCCATTGATTAAAAGGGTTTGTTTTTATTTAAAACGTTGGAGATATATCAGTAAATAGCTTAATTCAGAAACG